TATCTCACATTTGGAGGTTAGCAGCACATAAAAGCAAGAAAATCCAGAAAAGGGCTAAAAAAACTTTTGCAAAAAAAAAAAAAAAAAAAAAACCACCCACCCACCCCCCCCCCGCCACAACACACACACAAATTTTAAAAGCTATGCCAGGCATGGTGGCACATGCCTGTAATCACAGCACTTGAGAGGCTGAGGCAGGGGGATTGCCACAAGTTCAAGGCCAGCCCGAGCTACAGTGAGGCCCTGTCTCACAGGAACAAAACAAAAGCCATATTTAAAGCTGGCCATGTGCCTCAGACCTGTGATTCCAGCTACCTGGGAAGCCGCAGCTCACAAGTTCAAGGCCTGCCTAGGCTACAGCGTGAGGTGAGGGACAGCCTGGATAGCAGAAACATTCAAAACCAGTCTGGGCAACTTAGTGAGACTGCTTCCAAACAAAAAGTAGAAAGAGGGCTGGGAGGTAGGGGTAGCTCAGAAGGAAAGTGCTTGCCTAGCATGCGTGAAGCCCTAGGTTCAATCCCCGGTGCCACCAGAAGAAGGAAAAAAAAGAATTTAAAAAACTACTGAAACAGGCCAGGCACACAAGCCTGTGATTCGGGAGGTGAGGCAGGAGGATCAGCAGTTCAAACTCATCCTCCTACAGATCAAGTTTGAGGCCAGCCTGGGCTACATGAGACCCTCTCTCAAACACACAAGACCTGATCCCAACAGCTTCCTAAACAGTCTGAATTCTGACAGCTGCCTTGGTTGTTACAGACTGCACCGATCAGACAACCGTTCTTCTTGAAAAACACATTTATTTCTGTAAACTGTTCGAGTGCCGGAGATGGTCTTCACCAGCCTGGTACAGTACAGTCTTCCTCCCCAAGATGCAAGGAGCCAGAAAAAAAGAAAAGAACAACACCAACCACGCTCCCGAGGAACAAGCCCATCTCGTCTTTCTTTAAAAGCAAACAAAGCAATCTTTTCAAATTTGTGATGTGGACTAAGATCCCAACCACACATTTTCTGGGTGCTGTGCGGCCCCGGGCCAGCCTAACCGTTTGCAGGGGACTGTTCCATCCTTGCCATACTGGGAGCCCCTGAGCTTGACCCTGAACTTCTCCCACCACACCTGGGCTCAGACCTCTCGTGCCTCAAAAGGACTTCATCACAAGGGTAGCTTTAGACCAGGGGGCAGAGCCACTGCCAGGCAAGTTTTAAGGCAAATTGTCACTTCGTACTCGGTCCACACCAGACCCAAACTTCTCACTGCCCAGCAGGATCTGCCAGACACGAAGTTTGAAAGGAGTCGGGGGTGGGGCCTGGAGCCAAGGCGTTGGGGTTCATGAGATGTGTGAGCTCACGAAGGCTGCAGACTGTCGGCATGGCGGCCGGTTTAGCGGAAAGCAGGAAGCAGCCAAGGCAAACTGGGATGGCACTGGGGCCAGGCCCCAGCAGCTGTGAGCGGCCATGGTGGCTCAGACCAGGCAGGCCACAGCGAGGGCAGGAGAAACACCAGGGCCAAGGGCCACCGACAGAGGCACCTGGGATCTGACGGTGTGCATGACCCTGGCACCAAAAGAACTTTTCTTTAGAACACAAAGGGGGCAGGTATCAAAGAAAGAGGCTCAGAGGGCTTCAGAGATGGGCCACAACAGGATGAGGGGGGGCGGGGAAGGGGCTTGGGTGGCACACACAGGCGGCACCAGCCTCATCGCTTCTCCCCTCGGTGGGCTGGTGGTGAGGCGGCGGTTTCCCGCCCTCGGAGCAGGCAGACGGCTTTGGGGTGCAGGGCTGGGGCTACTCCGCCTGGGCATCATAATTGGCCCCTCCAGCCTTCTTCAGTTCGTTCTTGATGAATTCTTCCTCCAGTTCCTTTCGATCACTGATCACGAACTCCTTTGCGAAATTCTACAAGGACAAAGAACAGAGTTGCCGTGAGGGAGGAAGGGACAGACCCCAGGGTTGCTCAGGCAACGCGGCAGGGAGCCTTGGCACCCAAAACATGCAGAGGATCAAAATGAAGATGGGTAGCAACAGAGCTGTGTGTCAGAAAGCCCCAGACCAGATGAGACCCGGCCTGCTGCCCTCCTGGACCCCGGGGCCAGACCTGGACTGCTATGTCCAAGTCCCTGTCAGCTGCCGCTCAACTTCCTTATCTGAAAATCCTGGGGGGGCGGGGGGTAATGAGGTTGGAAAAGCCAATCGGTCAATGTTTAACTCTGGAAGAGGGAGAAGCAGGGAGAGGGAGAAGTCAAACAGTAGCACATCTCTGCAATCCTGTCCCTCAGGAGGCTGAGGCAGGAGAATTACCATGAGTCTAGAACCAGTTTAGACTATGTAGTGAGACCCTATCTCAAAAAAACTCACAGGAGGGGGAGGGCTGGAGGGAACAGAGGAGGGAAGCTCTGACTTGTGGTTACTATGCATTTTCATGGTGTAAACACTCCCAGTGGACTTCAAGCTGTCACTGTACCCAGGACGGGTGTGACTGGCTCGTACACAGGCTCAGCCATTTCTAGTCCTGATTGGGCCTGTGAATGTCCTGGGCTTCCCAGTCTCAGTAACTGGCGGGCAGGGTACTGGCAGCTTTTACTCAACATAACACGCCAGACTGAGGTGGGGAAACATGCAGTGACCCTTCCTGAGGTGCAAGGTTTTGCCCAGATAACCCATGGGCCTGGCAACGGGAAAAGCAGTTGGTCCATCTTATCAGATGACCCTGAGCCATTTAAGATAAGGTTATTTTATATGGAGATCATAAACTTCAACAAAGGAAGGGACTCTCAGGAGAGTTACAGAGTGCTGCCAGAAACACAAGTCTGAAGACCAGAAGAATAGCCACATAAAAAGTCTTCAGGGGCTGGGGGTGGCAGCGCAGTAAACCCAGCGCTGGTGGTGAGGCAGGAGGGTCAAGAGTTCAAGACCGGCCTTAGCCACATAGGTGTTCTAGGCTATAAAGGTAATGATGTGCACACCAGCACACACTAGTACACACAGGCATGCATATCCACACCATGCAGCACAAACACACACTGTACACACATATGTACATACATATCATACACACAGACACCCATATCCACAAGCATGTTAGCACACCACACACCAATACATATACCACACACAAGCATGCATACTCACACGGACACCCATATCCATAAGCATGCACACACACCACACACCAGCACATACATACCACACATGGACATGAATACCCACACCACACACATATGGATACCCACACCCACAAGCATGCACACACACCACCCACTACCCATGAACACACAGCATATAAATGCATATACATCCACACTATATATCACATCACTACATCCACTGGTACAAAATGTCCAAAAAAAGGCAAATCCACACAGAGAGAGCACATTAGAGGTGACCAGGGACGGAGACGGAACCCGACATACACTGTCTAAAATTGGATGTGGTAAAAGTTGCACAGCTCTGCAAATTTACCATGAAGTGTCAAAAGAGAAGTTCATTCCACACAGTAAACTAAAGCTGTGTCCAAGAACACCCGTGAGATGATCAGTATTACCGATCAATATTATTTTATAAGACAATCAAGATTACAAAGGCAAGGAGACAGGCTAAAGTCACAGAGTAAGGGGGTCTAGTCAAGGTCAAAGCTGCCTATTTACCTCCGGGAGCATGGCTCAGGGGTGGAGTGCTTGCCTAGTGAGAGGAATGATTACAAAGAATTCAAATCTCATTTGTCAAAAGAATGATGGAAGGAAGGTGACCGCTAACCCTCCCCCCACACACCCTGCAAAACTGTCTACACAAAGGCCCAGCCACTTTCCCTCAATTCCATGGCTAGAACAGCCCACTCCTCCCCTTCCTTAATTTCATTTGTGCCATTCTTTTTAATGGATGAGTGTTCGGCCTGCATCTATGTAAGTCCTGCCTGAGGAGGCCAGAACAGGGCATCGGAGCCCTGGGATTGGAGCTCTGGAGTGTTGTTGGCCAGTATGTGGGTGCTGGGAGCTGAACTTGGTTCCTCTGTAAGTACAACTGGTGCTCTTAACTGCTAAGCCATGTCTCCAGCCCCTGTACAATTCCTTTAAAACTAGTCAACTTCCAAAGACTGTGAGGTTGAACCCCAGGTCAACAGGAAAAGGACATAGTACTCCTGTGTTGGGATCAAAGCTATCCAATTTCTGCTCAATGAGCTTACTTGCTACCAAATGAGGAAACACATCCTTTTGCAAAACTGAGCCCTGCTTTGTCGAGTCCCCATGAGCTCTTCCTGCAGTATTTGGTGGGGTCCGTGACTAAATTTCATCTCTAACACCAGTATGGATGAGGCTCTGGGTTTGCTTTCCAGCACCACAAAAATAAACTAACTAATTAATTAATTCATTAATTAATTTAAAAGTGTCATGGGCTGGAGAGATGGCTCAGCAGTTAAGAGCAGTGACTGCTCTTGCAGAGGACCTGGGTTTGATTCCTAGCACCCACATGTTGGCTAATAACTGTCTGTAACTACAGTTCCAGGAGATCTGATGCCCTCTTCTGACCCCCTTAGGCAATACACAGGTGAACTTACATACATGCAGGCAATACACTCATACCCATAAAATAAATGGTTTTTTTTTATTTTTTTATTTTATTTATTTATTTTTTTGGGTCTTTTTGAGACAGGGTCTCCCTGTAGCCCTAGCTGTCCTGGAACTCACTATGTAGACCAGGCTGGCCTTGAACTAACAGAGATCCGCCTGCCTCTGCCTCCTGAGTGCTGGGATTAAAGGCATGCGCCACCACGCCCAGCTTGTTTTTTTAATATTTAAAAGTATCACCACATCTACTATGTGGGGTGGTGAAAAGTCTTTGGAACCAAGTGGAGGTGGTTAAAATGGTTAATTTTACATAAGTGAATTTTACCTCAATAAAAAACAAAACAAGCAGGGTTGGAGAGATGGCTCAGCAGTTAAAAACACTGGCTGTTCTTACAGAAGACCTGGGTTCGAATCCCAACACTCACATGGCAGCTAACAACTATCTGTAACTCCAGTTCTAGGGGATCCGATAGCCTCTTCTGTCCTCCTTGGGCATTGCACAAAACAAGTGTACTTACCTACATGCAGGCAAAACACACATACATATAAAATAAAATAAAAAAACCAGCAAAACCACATCACCAGGAAGGCTGGGTAAAGAGGGTTGAAGTGGGTCAAGCTAGCATCCTAGAGAGAGACCCCCATGCTGAGGAAAGCCAGCAAAACCATGGAGGGAACAGGAGAGGCTAATATTTACCAAGAAGCCACATGGCCAGGCACCACCTCACACATGTTCGGGCTGAATCCTCCCTCTGTATATTAATTTTGTAATTTCTTAAGATAAGACCTGGGGCAGGGCAGAGCCTCATCCAGCCCCACCACACATGCTTCAGACCTTCAGACCCCTACTCCTTCGGTTCCTCCAAAGAGCTCGCTGAGTGTGTAGGTGTGACTCATTCAGAGAAGGCAGAGGGCCTCGGGTCAAAAGGAGAATTGAGAGCTGAGTGTGTCTCAACACCCAGCCCAGCCCAGCAGCACAGGGGAGGGGCTGGGCGCCGGGTAAGGAAGCCCCGAGGGGTAGGATGCTACAAAGGAAGTCCAAAGTCCCCTGCACGGTGACAGCCATATATGGCAATGTAAAGAAAGAACCCTGATGTTTGTGTCAGTCGGCCAACAGCAGATTAAGATGTGAGGGCGATAAGAAATCTACAGGGGGCATGTGGAGCCTGCAGCAGCCCAAGCCAAATCTCAAAAGTGTGCTGCGCCACCACTACCACAAGGCTGGTGTCCTGGCTCACACTCAACCCCAGCACTCAGAGAGTGCCTATGAATTTGAGGCAGGCACACACACACACACACACACACACTGAAGAAAATGTGCTCTTACTGTCACTGCCTACACAGGACTGCGTGCTTCTCCAGGGATCCCGTTACTGTGGAAAAGCCGCTTAGGGTGCAGGTCACACGTTGCACACCCTGCCTGTCATGCCAGTCCCACTGTCCTAGGGGAGTGCCATCATGAGCCTGCAGAATGAAGAGTTCTGCTTCTTTGCTGAGTGTTTTTCTCTTCCAGTAACCAAGATGGGCATTTAAACATTTCCAAAGCCAGGACAGCTAGAGCTGTGCCTAGGGTCCCCTGAGACAGGTCCCAGTTTCCCCTGATGCCCTGCAGCCAGCTGGAGGCCGATGTGTCCCACAAGAGCCCTGGCCACACAACTGCCAGGAGATGGGCCCCACATCCACACTGCCCAGCTGAGCTCAGCACCGCCTGCAGAAGCAGGAAGAGGTGCCTCCTCTGGCCCCCCCCCATGTCCCCACAGCACACACTGCTGGGCAGCAAGGACCTGGGAAGTCATCTTCCCCCACCCCTCAGGCCACAGAGGGGGAAACTGAGGCTCTGAGAACAGCACCCCCATGAGGTTGGTGAAATGGCAATCACTACCCTGTCCTCAGTGCTCTATCCTAACGCCAGGTCCACTCAGGTCCCTGCTCTCCACACCCCACCTGTGATCCAGCCATTCCCTGTGCATCCTGTGTCTGGGAGAGACTGACTCCAGGCACCTTCCACACAAGGTATCCACATCTCCATTTAAACCTTCCTGTGGACAGTCTAGTCACAAAGATGCACAGGTAAGGGGCCTGCTCCTCACCCTATCCCAGGGGTGGCACCTTCCCCTCCCGGCTGGTCCTGCAGGCCTCTGCCCACACAGAGGGCTTGACACGGGGGACACACTCTTCCCATCCAAGGTGTGAACTCTATAAAATGTCCTCAGATGCCTGATTTGTTCACCTCTACCAGCAGTCCTGCTGACCAGACCTGGCTAGGGAGCCACCAACAGCACTGGGCATCACCTAGATATGTTTGCACAAAGAGCAGAAACCAAGCAACATCCT